TGGAGTTGGAGGCATGAGCATGAAGTCAGGGTGATGGATGGATGGAGAGGCAGACAGAGATGAGATGTCTGTGTACATGTGCATGTATTTCCTAGATCTGTAGGGAATATGTTTACAAAATAAGGAACCTCATCTTAGTCTTGTTCCAGGTGGTTGGAATGAGCTTCTGCTGTTCAAATCTGAGACAATTTGAGAATCCAAACAAACAAAGATAGCAATGGATTATAACCCACTGGATAAAATAAGAATCCATGAATATAATTGAATATATATAATATATTATATATAACATAATATATATAATAAATATATGTATATTAAAGCAACATATTCTATACTTATTTATATGTGTTCATTATTTATATGTTTACTTAATATAATTTGCATTTATTATATATGTACTTTTCATAGTGCATATATACTGACATAATAATTTACATATATATGCTGATATAAATAAATAAAGGAGAAGGGAAAACTCCTTCTTGCAGTAGATTCTCAACTAATAAATATATAGAGAATGATGGATTTAGAAAATCACTACCATAGTAATAATTAATCTAGGCAAGAGTGAATATTAAAACTAGTGGATAAAACTTTGACAGTAATTACAAAATTCAACCACCTGGAACAAGATTAAGAGGAGGTTTTGAAGTCTGTGAAACACCGTAGACCTTCCTTCCAACTGCTGTCAGCTGACTGCTTAAGCCATATTGCTAAGCACTGTGTCAGTAGCGGTTAAGAAGAGTAAGTATTCATTGAATGTTCACTACCTGACATGCATTGTGCTAAGTGGGAATTTGGGGGCTTAGTAGTTTGCATATATTTATTAACTCACTTATTCCTAACATCAACTCAGTGAGCCTTTTTTCAAAATCGATATCCTCACCAATTTTTTTCCCCTAGAACCAGGGATTAAACCCAGAGGCACTTCACCACTCAGCCATAGCCACAGCCCTTTTTATTTTTTATTTTGAGACAGGGTCTTGCTAAGTTGCTCAGAGTCTCACTAAGTTGCTGAGGCTAGCCTTAAACTTGTGGTCCTCCTGCCTCAGTCTCCAGAGCCACTGGGATTATGGATATGTGCCACCATGCCCTGCTGGTATCCTCATTTTTAAGAGGAAAAAGCTGAAGTTGAAGTAATGAAAGATTTATCTAGAATCAAATCAACAAGAGACAGAGCCTCCGATTCCAATTCCCTGCCTTTGGCATTGAGTCCAATGTTGCCCTATCATGCGGTATGCCTCTGCGTCTTCTTAGAATTCTGCTGACGAAAATGTGAAGAATAATTAGACCATTGAGGCATTCTTAAACCAAAGCAGTGGTAACTGCCTTATTCTCCTTTTTCTGCCTCCTCATTTTTCTCACCTGCAAAATAGAGACAGCAATACAGTCATTTTTCATTTAATGGCAGGGGTGTGTTCTAAGAGCTGCATTGTTGGGCAATTTTGGTTTTGTGTGAACAACATACAGTTACACAAACTTACGTGGTATTAGGTCCAATCTCTTGATGTGAATGAGGGATGTGGTTACATGGGGTGTATGAGGCCACTGCCATCATAGCATGGCCTATTAGTTTAGTAAGCTTTTTGTTTAATAAGTAGGAGAACATGTTAAAATAGTGATAAAAAGTATTGTGTAGTATATACATAAACTAGTAACTTATTCGTTTACTATCAAGTATTACATGTTGTTTGTAGTGTATGTGCTATGCTTTCATATTACTGGCAGTGTAGTAATTTGTTTATACTAGTATTACCACCATCACGAGTAATGTGTGGAGCTATGACATGATAGCTCCACACATTACTGGGCCATAGGAATTTTCCAGCTCCATTATAATCTTTTGGGACCACTATCGCATATGACGTCTATAGTCTGTTGTTGACCAAAGTCATTATGCAGTTCATGACTACACTTAATGTACGTGTTCTTATGAGGACTAAATTAGATAAGGTACGTAAAGCATTTGGCACAGTGTGAAATGAGTGTCCATTAAATGATAGCAGCAGCATTGGTAATTGCGGTCGTAATGTTGAACTCCCTAGTAAGATGGAAAACATTTCTAAGAGACATCTCCTGCTTTGGGACTGAATTGATGATCTGGGACTAGATCATAAAGAGCTCGTGTATCATGAAAAGAAGATTACATTTCATTCTATAAGCAATAGAAAGCACTGAAAAATTCTGTTACTTGGAGAGATGTGATCTGGTTGGCAATTTGCAGAGCAGACCAAGGGGAAGAGAGAAAAACTTAAGACTAGGAGATCAGAAGAGGCTGTTGTCAAAGACAAGGCAGAAGATGATGGGGGCCTGGTGTGCTGGTGAGGAGGGGATATGTGAGAGACAGCCACACTACTGGATGGGTGCTTGGATTTAGCTGGAGAGAAAGGGGAGGAGCTTAGGTGGACCTTCAGCCTGAGGCCTGGGTGTAGCCCTTGTAAGTAAGGCTTGACCAGCATGCAGAGGAGGAGCAGGCTGGAGACCTGGAAGGTGCCAGCTTAAGGTGGTTTGGAACAATCAGCAAAGTCATGGTAGAAACTTGGATATTTACATCTGGATGGAGGACTCTGAAGATCCAAATATTCAAATCCACATTGGGAGAGAATTTAGCCCCAGAGAGTAAGTGAAGTTGTGGAGACAGATGAGGTCCCTCAGGGAAGGAAGGGAGGTAGAGTGAGGAGACAGCTGAAGATAGAATTTTGGAAACACCAATGTTTACAGAAAGAAGAGACCAAAGGAGACTGAGAAAAGGAACACTCAGAAAGATAAGCAAGGTTCAACGTGGGAGTTTTCTGCCATGGCACAGGCTGTGACGAAGCAAGGGAGAATTGAAAGGCTGCCTGTGGGATTTGGAACTGGTGATCAGCAAGGGCAGGTGCCAAGTGCAGAATCAAATTTGCCCCTTGATTAAGGAGAGACTGGTCCTTTATAGAGGGAAGAAATCCACTTAAATGCTCCCAGCGATGCAGGCATCTCACCTGCCAGCCGTGCACTCCCATCTACTGCCCTTCCTTACAGAACTGGAGTCCCTCTCCCCCCTACCCCCGCATCTGGTCAGCCCACCTATTCACTTCTCCAGAGAACTCCCCACATATGCCTGCCCACTGGGACCTCCATCCTACATTGCTTGTATGCTCCAGGATCCCCAAACCTGCTTTGATGTTGGTTCCCAGGATGGATACTATTTTATTAAAACCATTTTTTTTTTTTTTGGTACTGGGGATTGAACTCAGGGGTACTCGACCACTGAGCCACATCCCCAGCCCTATGTTATTTAGAGACAGGGTCTCACCGAGTTGCTTAGCACCTCACTTTTGCTGAGGCTGGCTTTGAACTCGAGATCCCCCTGGCTTCAGCCTTCCAAGCTTCTGGGATTAAAGGCATGCGCCACCTTGCCCAGCAATGGCTTATTCTTTAGTAACGTAGGATCCTGTGTTGCAACTCGTCTTTATTTCTCCTCCTATTGGGTTGATGGTTTCCAACCAAATTTTTTAAATCTCAACCAGAACAAGAATTAAACTCCTAATTATGATCAGTCTACAGATTCATGTATAACTGAAAGGCAAGTCCCCAGGCAAGGCATACTTTTACTATGGTAGCTGCACAGTAATATTTTCAACTCCGTTCCATTCTACCCTGTTCTATTTCATGTTTTTAAGTGCTGGTCCTGGCCTACTACATTAATTTTATATCCCACAGAACTGATTTACTGTAATATGCCGTGCTAGGAGGGGATAAAAGAAAAAAGACACCATTTTTCTGAGTCCATTCCCTTTTCTTTCATTTAGGCCCCTCAGCAGGCCTTCCCTCTTACCTCCTTTTTATGGCTCTGAGAGGACACAGAACTGCTTCTATCACTAGATTTTAGCCAATCTTGGCATTATATGAATTTTCAAAATGGCTCACTAGGGGAAGGTAAGCAGCTATAATAGTAGAAGTTAGAAATCAGTGAAGGAGAGAATGGCTCACCTTTCAAATCTTCCCTTATAGATTACTGTTCCTGTAATTACTCTTGGGGCATCCTAAGGCATTTTCATTCCATGCGGATTCCTTTAGGTAGCCCTAATACTACCACTCGCCTGAACCAGTTAAACTTTCCCAGTAAATCCTACCTATACAGGCCTTCCCTGTGTTGGGGTGCAGCGGAGCGTCGGAGGGGAGAAACCACACAAGAGACTCACTTCATGCAATCGCAGGGGGGAAGTTTATTGAGGATCCTGTTCCAGCGCGCTGGGACTCTGTGCCCACTCAAGAAGGGAGAGCAGCCCAGAGCCCAGAGCAGAGTTCAAGCGGAGCTTAAGTACACTTTTTGGAGAGGGTGGGGGGCTTTGCATACATCAGAACAAATCATCATGAGGCGCGGGAAAATTGAACAACAACCCTAAGTCAGGATTAGTGCATACATTGGCGGGAACAATCAGGGCAAGAGTGATTGGTGCTCCTAGGTGGGGTACACATTCAAACTGATTGGTTTAGGTCCTGCAATGCCTACGTGCCAAGCAACTCTGAACCCTTAGCTATTAAACAACCAGAAAGTCAGTGGAAATATTTACTGGGCAGTTCCAGTATTGTCCTAACAGCTACAGGGATTACAGGTTTTGGGGGTAGCAGAGGGACTCTAACAATACCCAGTCTTTTACTTTTTAACCCAATCCCTGCACTTTGGAAACTTTAGGATGCCTGGTCTTTTACACTTTAACTCAGGCTCTGCGGCTTAGAATCAGCTTGGAAATTTTACCTTTACACCTGCATGGCCTACCTATATTCATACAGGCCACAGATTGCCACTTGATACCCACCCACAGCTAAACAACAAACGGCAGTTGTGTTGCTCTGGTTTCTATGCCCTCTTCAGCCCTTTCCAAAGGGAGATTGTTCCCTGAAAACCCTCTGAACCATTGCCTTCTGTGGATCTTTCAGCAAAGAACTTTTGTGTTTTTCTTTTTTTTTTTAATTCTAACATTCTCATTTTCAATGTCTTTTCTGCTTCTACCTAGGAAAAGCCAAAATTTGTGAATTCACCTTGACTACAAACAGGAGAATGTTACCTGAGGAATAGCAGAAGATTTTTCGCAACTTCAGAAACGTGCCTGCTGCTACCATAGGCGCTTGAGTCCCTTGAGAAGTGTCCTGAAGGGCTCATTTGTTGCACACCTGCAATGAGCCAGTCCCTGTGCTGGGCCTCAGCTTCACCCTGGTGAACACAGTTCCATCCCTGGCCTCAACGTGCTCACACCCAGTTTAAAGATGAGCGAAGAGCAATGGGTCTCTCTCACTCCCGAAGAATTTGACCAACTTCAGAAATACTCTGAATGTAAGTAAATGGATGATGGACAGACATGGGATGGGATTTCATCTTGCCTGGAGAGGGTATTTCTGGAGAACAGAGCAATACAAAAAAAAAGCCACAGAGAGCAAAATCAGGCCTGACAGTTTCTATTGCCTTATAAACACAGAATTAGGGTCTTTAATATAAAAACAAAATATTTTTAAAAATATATAAGTAATTACCTTTAGGCTCTATAAGTAATACATGCTCACCACAGAATTTGGGATATTCATGGAAGAAAATAGAGTGGGTTAAAAATCACTGGTCAACCCTAGGATCGGTTCCGATCACTCTCCTCCTGTGCATATTGCTTTACATAGTTGAGTTCTAACAGTGTACCTTGTTTTTGAAACCTGAGCTTTTCACCCAACACCGTCATAAGCATTTGGTCAAATCAGTTAAATCTCTTTTGCATAATTTTGAAGTGCTGCAATTTCTGTGTTTCCGTGTTACTCAGTGACTGACTTGAACACTTTTGCATTTGGACCCAAAAACCTTCTTTCAGTTAGGGACTGAACTCTGTGTGAATCTCTCTTGACTTTGATCTGGGAAGTCTTGGGCTTTTGCTTGGACTCTTGGTTTCCCATTCATTGTGCCCAGGAACCATTTCAATGCATTAAGTCAGCAGTGGAGTGGTGCCTTCACACATGGGCATTTAGTTGTGCCCGCCATGGGTCACTGCTAATCCCGACTGGTGACAGGAATCTGCTTAGGCTGAGGCAGAAGCCTGTGTGATCACTTCCCTCTGCACAGAGTGGTCTTCATTGACTGTGCCACGGCACTGATTTTCTTGAGTGCTTTGTCATGCAGAGTTGCTCCACCTACCCAATTTCTTCCCCCTTCCTTTTAATTATAATGGCAGCTTTCCACCTGCCTGCTAAGGTTGTACAGGTCCCCTCCAATTGCCCTTCTGGTGGCCCCTCCCTCTCCCTCAGGCAGCCCCTCCCTCTCCCTCAGGCAGCCCTTGTCCACACCACGGATCTAAAAGTAAACCAGGCCTCCCACAATTACCAGCTCTGCTTCTTGAGACAGTCCTGAATACCCCAAGCCTCCATGTCCTCTTCTGTACAATAAGAGGACTGAACGAGGTGTTCTAACCCTGTGGTACCATCTGGGCCTAACATCCTGTGACTTCACATGGTCCCAAGGTCAACAAGAGTCCCATTGGATCCTGATCGTTCTCCCTCTTGGTGCTGTGTGACCTGTGCTTTCTTGTCTAACCTTGATGAGTTTAAAGAAACTCTACAATGTATTGACAGGGAACAAGGAATCACCCCCTGGGGTAGCTTGAATTTAATTTAGCCTGCTCCATAGGTCAGCAAAGTATCAGCCCGACAAGGATGAAAAAGAAGCATATAGAAGAGTCCTACCCTAGAGGGATCAGAATCTTGTTAGGGGGTCAGAAATGTGCTCCTGACAGAAACAGAGAATTGCTCTAGGGCATCAGGAAGGAGGTGTTGGCTAAATGGAGCTTATAAAGGTACAAGGTACAAGGAATCCAAGGCCAGGGAAATCAATACGGGAGAGTGTGTACCACACATAGGGGGATTCAAGAAATTTATTGTCTTCAATCAGTGGGGACTAGAAATCTAAAATCAAGGAGTTGGTAGGGATGGTTCCTTCTGAAGACTGAGAGAAGGACCTATCCCAGGCCTGTTTCCTCAGCTTATCATTGGCCATGTTCTCCCTGAGTCCCTTCACATGGTCCCTGTGTGCCTGACTCTGTCTAAATTCTCCCTTTTTATAAGGACATGGTTTTACTGAATTAGACTCACCCCATTCCAGTAGGACCTCAGCTCAACTAATCACGTCTGCATCCGCCCTATATAAAGTCGCATTTTGAGGTACTGGGGATTGGGACGTTAATATATGAATGGGGTGGGGGGGACAATTGAACCCATATCAGATGATTTAGCTGAGTGAACTCTAAGGGAGAAACCAGAGTATTTAGTAATAAGTGGCCCTTCCCTAGCTTGGATTTTTTTTTCTTCAGCCATCATCTTTGTCCTGTGACCCTTTCTCACCCTTTCTATGTCCCAGGACTAGGCAAGGTACTCCAGACCTGTTGTTCTAATAGGAGAGGGGAAAAAAAGATAAAATTCTTGGAAAATAATTAGTCCTGAGAGGAAACCCTGAAAAAGTCACTTTTAGATGCATTCTGGTATTCAGTCAGATCACATTGCCATAGCAACCGCTCTTCCACAACCACATAAACAGGAGCTTTACAATAGCGAAATAATGAAGTGTGCAGCCCGAGAACTGAGAACTTCCTCCCATGAAGTTACCAAGTGGGAGGGGCTCTTGGAGTGCTCCATTTATATTGCATAAACCTGCATAGTCTCTGGTGGCTTTCTGGGAGGGGAAAATCCATTCTAAAACTGCTCTTGGAAAAAAATCAACCAAGTTATATTGTTATATTTTGTGCCTCTACAAATATGTAAAAACAAATTCCACTATTACATATAATCATAATGCACCAATGAAAAAGAAAAAAAAATGATAAAAACTGCTTGTGGAGGCATAAACTTGGGAATATACATCCAATACTATTTTGTATGCTGTTTTCTTCTCTCTAACAGTATCCCAATTATCTATTGCTGCATCAAAACCACTTCAAAACTTGTGGATTTGAATAACAAGTTGGGAATCTGCACAGGACACAGTGGGCATGACCAGTCTCTGGTCCACATGTTTGAGGCTTTAAGTGGAACAACTCAAAATGACTAGACCATTGCATAGTGGTTCCTAGGTGGAGCCTCTCTGTCCAGCACCTCCTCATCTTCCAGGGCCTCTGCATGTGGTCTGCTTCTAGCAGGACTTTTAACATGATGGCCCAAGACTCCAAGAGCAAAAAGGCAGCAGCTGTCAGACCTTTTAAACACCTTGGCTCAGAGGTCCTAGAATAGAGCTCCTTCTACATTCCATGGTTTAAAGCCATTCCAGGCCTGACCCAGATTCCATGGGGTGACGGAATGGACTCCATATCTCATAGACAGTGGCTCACAGTGAGAGATGGGATGGCGGGGATGGTCAGCCACCATCTTTAGAGACCATGATTCCATCATTCAACGAGCTCTGGGAGCATGATTTTTAGTGCTTGCAGAGACTTCTTTTGAATACATTTAAGTATTTCATTTCACCAAACAAGTTATTACAATCTTAGAATACATTAACACACTCATTGTGTTTAGTAAGGCAAATTGGGGTCCCCTCCCGCCCTACCCTGATCATGCCTCTCTGGACATAAAACATGTATTTATGGGTACTACAGTTTACAATGGATGATGGATAAACCACATTTGTTTAAGAAATGTTGCTGGTGGAGTGAGGGGCTTCCCAGCCTGATTGGAGAAATAAAGTGTGCTTTTGCTGGGGAAGGGAAGGAAAAACTGCTTGTTTATTAAAATATGTCAGTGCTATTTGGGGAAGAGGTGATAAATTAATTATGAATGGTTTCAAGATGGTAACCTTGGGACTAGATGGTAGCCCTGGGACTAGTGAGAAGAAATCATAGGTCACGCCTGTCCAAGGTAGAAGATTGGCTTTCAAGGGTTGAGTTTCCTTTCCCTAGAACTATGTGGCAGAGTTGGCCAAGGCACCGTAAGAAAGATATGAGCCTTAGTTGTCTGGTTGATTCAGTGACCTTCAGGAGCCTTTCCAGGATTTAGTTTCTGTGTTTATAGCAAGTTTCTTTTTTACTTTAGAGAGAATTGCACATGGGGACCCCCATGATTGAGCCTCTTTCTGAGAATACTGTTGTTTTATTGGGATGGGGGAAATTTTTCCAGGATTTATTTGTTTGTTATTTAAAAGTTCCATGATTTGTCAATGATAGAAACTATTAGTTTTTTTCAGAAAGGAAAATAGTCGGTGAAGCCTCAGTTTGACTTTTAATTCTATAACATTTCCTTCATCAGCTAGTGGTTTCTTAGATCATGAAGAATTTTTAAAGCTGAAAGAGATCTTACTCATCATTAATTCTAATTCCTACCCATCTTATGAATGAAAGCACTGAAACCAGGAGCCCAAGGTCACACAGAAGGTCAATGATAGCATAGGAATTAGAACTAAAGTCTCTCAATTCTAACGCAAGTTCAGTTTGTTTCAATTCCATTTCAAGAAATTAAAAAAATGTCCAAAGGAGTTCAACTTTCAACCATACCTTAGTAAACAGATGATAGATAGCTCAATTATATTATAATAGAGCAAAATTTTTAAGTATATTTAAAAATAATGGATCAGTACATTGTGCCATTAGGATATATGTTTTGTTAGAGTCCAGTGAAGGCGAAGTTTCTGACTTTAAAGTGTAGATAGAGTTCAGAATCCAAACCTGTCAATGTGAATAGGGGAGCCAGAGAAAATGTTTAAGGCTGAAAAGGTAGAACAATGTAAGAGTCTGAATACGCATTGTTGATACTTGCATCCAAGACCCACAAGGGTCATCTCTCATTGCTTCTTAGAAGAGAGAACCATGACTATTTCTCACCCATATCTCTTTTTGAGTACAACTGGTCTTTTTCTTTAGTGAGGACCAGGACTCTGCCCACAAGGAGTCCCAGAATCCTATGGATGGGGAGAAATTTCGATGGAACAGTGGCTCTCCAAATTTGGTTTAGCTCTCCTGGACAGCTTGTTAAAATGCAGATTCTGAATCACATGCAAAGCTTTGATCATTTTCAATGCCACTCTGGACCATTTACTCATAATCTGGAAGCATGGGACCCAGGCATCAGTATTTTTTAAAGCTGACCAGGTGATTCCAACATGCAGCCAAGGTTGAGAACACCTGGTTTATCTTTTCCCTCTATGCTTCTGGGAATTACAGGGCACATGGCACAAGCAAGACCAGCTCAATCCCTTTTCTAGCCCTTGTCGTTCAATAGATCTTTATTGAGTATCTGTTTGTGCCAGGCAAAGAGCTACATGCTGAGGATAAACAGTGATCAGGAAAAGAAGCCTAGCTGGGAGAGTAGGATATAAAG